CTCCGGGGCAGGCGGGGATCGAACTCCTGTGGTAGTGGCTTTAGCTTCTTAGTGCTGTGCTTTAACCCGCTGCACCACCAGGGAGGGACGCACCACTTGTTTTATTGAAGCTACATAACACATATACTTGATATATGTAAATATACTGATAGAAATTTTCACATTATGTTTACTATGATTTAGAAGTTGCCTTTTACCAAACAAAACATGACATACTGAGGACGACTGCTCTTCAGATAACAACACAAGAATGCATGCCAGCTTTCTTCAAATGCTAGGATGCTTACCTATATGGTCAATAGTTAATCATTTTTCTCAGTGCATCATAGCACTTCCATTTGTCTGGGATGTAGAATGGCTCAAATATGTGAGGAAATGGTGTGTCATACCCACAAACTCTTGATATAGGAGCCTCAAGGTTCAGGAAACACTCTTCCTGCAGAGAAGAACATAGATGATCCACTTCAAGAACATTTCTTTTTATTCACAGAGATGAAACATTTCAACTTAAAAAATAGCTGTATCAAAAGGCATTAAAATAAGTACACTGTAATGTGGGGAATGGGGAAGCAGGTTGCAGAAAACAGCATGCTTAGCAAGATTCCAAATTGAAATGTTTTCATATATAAGGGTATATTTTATGCTACTTAAGTATCTATTATGTATGTCAAACTGGGATTGCACCAAATATGCTGTTCTGCAAATATAAATGTAAGGCATGACAAAATCATAACAAAAAGTTCACATTAAATTTCTGCAGCTTTAAATTAGTAGCGGGATAAGTTGTATATACAATGGACATGTATTACTTTCCATATAAATGTTTGTAGTTATTTCATGTAGCCAGACTAAACTTCAACAAATAATTGAAAAAGTGTCCTAATCTCTTTTATGACCAGTTTTTTGTAGGTCCCTGACCATTAGCACTCCAAGTCCACTGATCTTTGCTTATTCATGTGCTCAAGTAGCAAATGAGGAGTCATCTCTACCAGGAAGTCCTTCTTGGTGGCACCTCCCCAATCCTGTACTACCAATGAGAAGAGACTTTGAGGACTCAACTCCTGTGTTTTCAACCAATGAGGAGAGGACCTTTGAGAACTCCTGGGCTTTCATAGCACTGAGCTTAGCATGAGCTTGGCATGATCCACTGTAATTGCTAAATGACCTATCTCCTATGAAAGAGTATGAACACCATAAGGCAACAGATCTGGTTTTAAAATATAAGTTTCAAGCATAGATCCCTGTAGGAAATTATCACCAGAAAAACAAAATTCAAATTTGAAAATAAATTGTTTAGAAAGTGAAAAAGAAACCTCAAAAGAGAGGGATATTGATGAAACTATCCTTATAAAATGATATTAATTATATCACTTATAGTTAAAAACTGAAATATGACCTTTAGCTTTTTTATATCCACTTCGTTCATTGCCTTGTATCATAAAAGATTTGTGCAGCTCACCATTTCTTATATATTTTACCACATTGTATTTTAAAATTTTCAATTGAGCAGACATTTTTACATGAAGAAATCCTCCTGCCTGACACAAAATCCCTGTCCTCTATACATTTCCTTCCAGTGACAAGTGTGCCAGGCAAAAAGGGTGCAGAAACAGGACAAATTAGCTCCAAAGAGAACCAGTTGACCATTTATAAAGCTCACTCTATCTGGTCCCCCCAAACCACAATGATGCACCGTACCAAACACCAAATAAGTGTTGATTTTTCCTGGCAACAGGAAATCTTCACTAACAACTTCAGAATTTTGCATAAAAAAAGATTTAAAGAGTCACCTAAGAAATTCCACTACTAATAAATTCAAGAGATGACAGATTGGGTGGATTGTTGCTTGATTGCAACAAGTAATTTTAAAGGGATTTAAATAGCCAAGTTAGGATTAACTCAGTTTTATTACTTTAGTTGACACGGGATGTTTTTCCATCCTCCCTGAATATTGCACTCTTTGTAAACTAACTATCCAAGGACACTGCAAATTACAGAGAATCGGGGCAAAATATTTCACTAAATGCCTCTGAATTCACACCGGCTATAAAATACTGCTTTTTTGAGCTAGTACCTTGGAAAGCTGGCCCAACAAAATAATCTGTCAGTGTTTGTGAAAATCATTTTTTAACATAATTACTAACATTATCCAGTGATTTTTTTTTTTCAAATAGCAATGTTTCTAACTCCTCAAGAACATGAGAATCACTCTTTACAGGAATACATCTATATTTGGAAGAACCTAGAAAAGGTCTGTGAGGTCACCCTTGAACTGTAAACAATGATTATTACCCACTTTGAAGCGAGGAATGGCAAGGAGGTGAGAAAAAACTCCACTGCATACTTTATAATATTGTTTTAAGTTTTTATGAAACAATATTGCTTTTATAATGAAATGGCATTGAAATAAAGGAAAAGAGTGAAGTGAAAAATCAACTTCTTACATAAAGTTCTTATTTTGTGTTACATAAATTTTTATTTTTATGTAGCATTTCCTTAATTTGAAATAAATTATGTGGTATCAAATTATTGTAAAGTACTGTCTCTTAATATACAAATATATTTATTATAAGATAAAAGATATGTAATAGAAGATATGATTCCACAAACAGTTTGCAATGTTAATGCTGGGCTAACTTAAAGACTCTTTGTATTAAAAAGTCTTATTTCTCCCATACACTCTGTCAAAACTTCTTTTAAAGCAATTGGAAATGTTTGGAACAAGCAGCTGTGGAACATTACTTCCCACTGAAATATTTCACATGAGTTATTTGTGAGTATACGTTTCTTTGGGCAACCATCAAAACAGGGCATCATTCAGCCTTGATTTTTTTTCCCATACAGAAGCTATAATACATGCATACAGATGAACGTACATACACTTGAAAAAAAGAAGTATTTTGACTTCGCTGGCAGATTTGCAGGGTAATGTACCTGATTAATCGTCCATAAAAGCATATCTCTCTCTTCATTATATACTATTTAACACTGTAATTGTTGAAACTATGGGCCCTGAATTTCAAGGCAATCCAGATTAATACCATTCTTCTTTTTCACTGGAAATATAATGACATTAAATTTAAGTGTTTGATGATTTTTGGCTCCGAAATAACAATCCACATGAAATTAGGAAGAAATAATTGTGTGGCTTAAGGTCTGTTGTGAGGATGACAGCCATAACATGGACTAAAGTGGGAAGTGGCAGTGTCTAGTCTTTACAGAGCTCATATGTGGTTTGACTCAGTCCACGTGGAACAATGACAACTGTGATTGCAAAGTTCCAAAGCACAAGTAATCAGGATCAACAGAAGAGAACCCACACAGGTGCCAAGCAGAAACTTTTCTCCAGTTATTCATGGCCCAAAGTCTCTTTCACTCTGGACCCAGCGAAAAAGACTGAAAGTGAAAACTAAAATAATCCTGTAGTCATGCCTACATATATTTCTTTGTGGTGTGTGATTTTACAAAAGTAACCAGACGCTTAAAGAAAAGTAAATATGCCTTCCGTTTAAAAGATCCTTGTGTAAGATCCTTTCAGACGGTATTTGAATTTACTTCCTTTTTATATTTAATTATAAATGACATGCAGTTATATATATTCACTTCAATATACATTATGACTGGATATTTATATGTATTGTGATATAATCACTGCAATAAGTCTAACACCTGCCATGAACTTACTTCTGAATATCTTTGTAATTATGGGAATATTCTTTTGATAAAACTAATAGCACAATAGTTACCAGAGATGTAGCATGGATGAACGTGTGATTTCACACTTAATGGTTTCAACAAACCTATGAAACCATTTTACAGGTGAAGAAACCAAGGTGAAGGAGCTTCCCATGGTCAAGTTCCTTGGGCAAGTTCACAGGCAACTAAGATTCAAATCTGATTTCAATGTCCATGTTCTTAGTCCCCTTCTATAAAATTTGAGGCATAACTATTGAGGATAGTATAACTCCAAAAAAAATTAGGAGTGAAAACAAATATTGGTAAAATAGATGGAAGAATAAGTTTTTCTAAGGTTATGCTTGTATGGTTAGATAACAGAACTTCCAGAGGCATAGTGGGTTAAATTCAATCTAAGAAACCTCTTCCATGTAAATAAGGAAAAATAGAGGCAAAGACAATGAAGCTGAATTACACACGTAAACCTGAGGTAACTCAGAGGAGTAAACAGATGGCCCCGGGAATTAGGAAATTCCTAGGTTATCCTAAATGATTTAAATAAGAATGACTCAGATTGTTTCTATATTAGCCATCTGAGTTGTTGTGCATACTATAAGCAGAAAAGGAAGCAGATGATGGGAAATAACAATTTCAAAATTGTAAAAATCATAGATGCAGGCAAAATAAATCACCTGTAGACAGGTGATAAAATTGTGAAGGATAGAAATTCTGTAAATTTTCTAGCATGTAAGAGAAGGTAAGTAAAAGTGAATGGAATAGGAACCATTATTGTTTTAAGATAAAATAGTAGTTATACACTTTTAAAGTTAAGTGTTCTGCATTTATTCCTGTATGTTGATGACTGCAATATAGGTTACATGCTATATGCATGTGCATGTAAATATACATGTAATGGGGCTTTCATGAAGTCGCTCGATATCTCTCAACACTAAAGTTTACTTCCCCAATAAAGTTCCAAGTGAATCAAACATAAATTCTTCTATCACCATGTCATAGAAGTCATTGAAATCAGTCTCAGGCATTCCACAGAGCAGCTTAATAAATCTTTATGTTAGGGCAAGGCCGTGCAAGACAACTGATACAGCACAGAATTTGGAATTCTGTCTGGACAGAATCTGATCTGTGACTTAAACTCTCTGGATTTTTGTTTACATAATAGCAAAAGTATTAAAAAAATATGCTATTGTCTTTTCCAATGGTTTTGTAACTACCCTACACTTGCCTATTTGGGTCTCTACATCATACAGTAACATATGAACAGTACCTGATATGCCGTGCTTCACATACCATAGAGTTCAATAATGGCTAGGTATTTTGATTTCTTCTTAAGATTCTCCAAGTCATTATAAGCACAAAGTATTTGAAATGATAGGCCAAATCATCATTGAAGACAAGATTCTGGTGTACAGAAGAATCAACAAGGAGAACGAATACCCTGATAGCACTATGCCAGGAGAACTACCATTTATTAAGCTTACTTAGACTTACAAATTGTAAGACAAAAATCAAAAATAACTAAGTGGTGTACGCGCAAGGAGGGTGGAAACCACAGCATGATGAAAGAAGCCACGGGATGAACACAGGCTTCAAGAACAGCAGGGTCCAGTGCTGCCCCCTAGTGGGCAACAAGGAGCCTGGACACCAATTGCCAGTTCCCGGAGAGAAGACTACATCAAGTGTGGCTATAGAGCTAAGTGCAGGAGCTCCAGAAATGAGTTATGCCCCTACCTTAAAGTCTGA